TGGAATTCTGCATTCAATTCTGGTCTTGTTATAGGAAGGATGTTGTGAAACTTGAAAGTGTTCGGAAGGATGTTTACAAGGATGTTGCTGGGTTGCGGGGTTTGAGCTAAAAGAAGAGGCTGAATAGGCTGGGACTATTTTCCCTGGAGTGTCGGAGGCTGAGGGGTGACCTTAGAGGTTTGTAAAATCCTGAAGGGCATGGATAGGGTGAATAGCTAAGGTCTTTCTGCCGGGGTGGAGGTGTCCAGAACTAGAAGGCATAGGTTTAAGGTGAGAGGGGAAAGATTTAAACTGGACCTAAGGGGTAACTTTTTCCACACAGGGAGTGATGAGAGTGTGAAATGACCTACCAGAGGAAGTGGTGGAGACTGGCACAGTCACAACATTTAAAAGGCATCTGGATGAGTGCATGAATAGAAAGGGTATAGAGGGATATTGGGTCAAATGCGACTAGAATAATTTAGGATATCCGGTCAGCATGGACAAGTTGGACTGAAGGGTCTGTTTCCATGCTGTACAGCTCTATGAGTCTATGACTGCTTCTGAATTCTGGGGGCTCTTGTTTGGTATTCAGGGGCTCCATTTATCATTCTGATTGACTGATTTATTAGATGATGCAGTTGCAGAGTAAGAGTACCTTTTATATTTGTGGATTTATACTTGCACAGAAGCAGAGTGAGAAGAATTCGTCGATATCCTCAATAATTGTGAACTGTGTTAAACAAGAAGTCACACGCCCAAGAAAATCATTGATTTACTGGACATCACAATATTAAAATTAGCACAAGACAACAGGTTAAAGCTAGCAGTGAAATTTTTTTTAACTTCAAAGTAACTGATATACACACAAAACTATCATCCTAAAAACACTTCCTCAGACTGATGTCACATATAATGCTTTTCCATTGCATGTGCACACAGCTGGAAAATTTAACCAGTTACTACTACCCTTTTTACTGCATCTCAGATTTCAATTTAACAGTTGACAGTTTTCATTGCAATTGCACCCATTATGTTTGTTCCCATATAGTTGCGCCAGAACGTATGGGCATTTAAATTAGAGAATCGACATACATTTAGAGTCATAGAGTAATACAGCATGAAAACCGGCCCTTCAGCCCAAATTGGTCCATGCTGAACATGGTGCCCACTCAGCTAGTTCCAATTGCCCTCATTTGGTCCATATCCCTCTAAACCCTTCTCATCCATGTACCCACCCAAATGTTTTTTAAATGTTGCTATTGTATCTGCCTCAACTACTTTCTCCGGCAGCCCATTCCATATACGCACCACTCTCTGAATGAAGAAGTTGCCCCTCTGGTCCTCCTTAAATCTATCCCCCTCACTTTAAACCTATGCCCTCTAGTTTTCAATTCCCCATCCCCAGGAAAGAGACTATATGCATTCATCTTATCTATGCCCCTCGTGATTTTATACACCTTGATAAGATCACCCCACATTCTCCAATGTTTCAAGGAATAAAGTCCTAACCTGGCCAACCTCTCCCTATACCTCATGCCTACTAGTCCTGGCAACTTGCTCGTAAATCTTCTTTGCACGCATTCCAGTTTAACTATATCTTTTCTATGACAGGGTGACCAAAACTCCAAAACTGTACACAATATTCCAAGTGCAACCTCACCAACGACTTATACAACTGTAACGTAACATCCCAACTCCTATACTCAATGCCTTGACACCCCCACAACAGCATCCAAAGTGGTATACCTGTTATTGAGGGGAATGGCCACAGGGGAACCCTGCACTATCTGCCCTCCCCACTTTACCTCAGCCAGCTACCTGCACCCTGCACCTTGGGAGTGACCACTTCACTATAGCTCTTAACAGTGATGTTCTCTGCATCTTGGATGATCCTGAGTGCATCCAGCTCCAGCTCCCGTTCCCTAACGCGGTCTGTCAGGAGATGCAGCCGGGTGCACTTCTCGCAGGTGTAGCCACCAGGGAAACCGGAAGTCTTCCTGATCTCCCACCTTCTGCAGGAGGAGCATGCTACTGCCTTAACTGCCATCCCCACTGCCTTCAGTCTAGACTGAAAGATAGTAAAGTTAAAGAGCCCTTGCCAGCTCTTACCTGTACCCCTGCTCAGCCTCCTCACACTGAAACCTCTTGAGGAAAGGCCTCAGCACTTCAAATCTATTACTAGCCCATTCTCTTAATGGCTGCTACCTTCTACACCTTCACCTTGCCAGTCATCTTCCTCACAGAGCCCCTTTTTGTGGTTCAGAGGAGGAGGGAGGGTTGGAAACACCGATGTAGTGTTTCGGGTTTAACCATACTTTGACACTAGGTTCTCTCTGACCTGCTGTACAGTCGTGATGACTGCGGCGATGTCTCTCAGAATTCTGCTGTGATGACTCTTAGCCACCCTCTGATTCACAAGGAGAGATTTCAAGCTTCCTTTTTCTTTGTTTCTTAGTTAACTGTGTATTCCTTTGTTGCTTGGCTTAAAACTCTTCTCCCCTTCCTGCCTCCCCTTCTCTTTTGTCCTAGCCTCATTTTCTCTTCTGTCCCCATCTTTACCACTTTCCCCTTTTCTCTTTTCTCAAGCAGCAGCTTCGCCCTCTTCTTTGCCTGCATCCTGACTCTCATTTCTTCCCTGATCCCTCGTAGCATCGCTTTCCACCCCTTTGTAGTCCTTCTCCTTGTTCTGTTTGCAACTCCACTCACAGACCTCTCCCTCCCCTTCCCCTGCTCACAGCCTCACCTCTTCATGCAAAGAGGCAGAGAGTCATATAGCGCGGAAACGGAACCCTTTGGTCCAACCCAGTCATGCTGATCATAATCCCAAACTAAACTGGTCCCACCTGCCTGTTCCTGGCTTGTATCTATCCAAATCTTTTTGAATCATGTACTCATACAAATGTTTTTTTAAACGTTGTAATTGTACCCACGTCCACCACCTCCTCTGGAAGTTCATACCACATACAAAGCACCCTCTGTATAAAAAAAATTTGCCCCTCATGACTTTTTAAAATCTCTGTCATCTCACCTTAAAATGTGCCCCCATCCTAGGGAAAAGACAATTACCATCAACTCTATTTATACTCCTCATTATTTTATAAACTTCTGTAAGGTCTCCTCTCACCCGCCTATGCTTCAGTGAAAAAAGTCCCAGCCTATCCAGCCTTTCTTTATATCTCAAATCTTCCATACCCAGCAACGTCCTGGTGAATCTCTTCTGATCCCTCTCCAGCTTAATAATATCCTTCCTATGACTGAGTGACCAGAACTGGACACAGTATTTCAGAAGAGCCCTCGCCAATGTCCCGTACAACCTTAATGTTACTTCCCATATCCTATACTTAAAGGATTGAGCAATGAAGGCAAGTGTGCCAAATGCCTTTTAACCCACCCTGTCTATGTGTGATGCAAACTTCAAAGTGATATGTACCTGAACCCCTAGGTCCCTATGTTCTACTACATTACCTAAAGCCCTACCATTAATTGTATAAGCCCTACCCTTGTTTGTTGTACCAAAATGCAATACCTCACATATATCCAAATTGAACTTCATCCAATTGTAAGCTTTCTCTTTGTCTCTGTAATGCCACCTACCCAATCCCTTTCTTATCTCCCTTGAAGAGTCTTACTTCCTACCCCTGTTGCCCAATGACTAAGAGCTCCATTTGCTACCGTGAAACCAACAGTGAAAGACTTGTTCTCCTGTGGCTCACTTAATTTCATTTCTTTCTTATTTGCTCATTGCTTCTGCAATCACAGGCTGCTTCTTGTGCATTTTTGCCACTGATACAAATCTCAGTGGAGTAATCAGCAGCAGGCCTAAAAGAGAACCAGCCTGTGATTGGAGGAGCAGCTCCCAACTGATTCTGTTCATTCTGCAAATGGTCCATGAGTGAATTTTCGCAGGCATCTTTGCTTTTTGGGATGCCTTTTCCTGCTGCCCACGTGTCTGTTGAGCACTGATCTGTAATTATGAGAGTTTAGAATAGCAAAAGATCATAGCATCATGGAAGCATAGAAAGACATTATTCAGCCTGTCAACTAATTTCAGCCCTCTGTTGTGCATTTCAGTCCATTGCTGTCTACAGGTTTTTTTCCCTGTCATACTCAGTACTCTGTATCCTCCAATAAATCATTGATCTCTGATTCTGTTACCCGCTGTGTGGCGGACAAAATGTTCATGCATTCCCCAATCGTCATTATTGTGTGCTGTAGCCCAAAACCTTAAAATTGTGTCTCCTTGTTTCCACCAGCTTTTCTTTTGTCTACCTGGGCCAAACCTGTCATAATCTTGTACATAATCTATTCCTCTTTTGAAATGTGCCATTAATTTGGTATTACCTCTCCCTATCCCTTTTGCCAAAATGTATCACCTCACATTCAGCCATACCCTCTGCCTCCTATTTGCTCCCCAACCAGGACAACCTTTCCCTCGACTGTCCTTTGATTATTTGTGTTTGTAAAGCACTTTTGGATTCCATTGACTCTTCAGAAGAAATTTGGATGAGCATTTGGAGGAGCAAGAAAATGATGAGCAATGGGAAAACAGGAGCGAAGAGGGTATGGTTGGACAACTGCATCAAAGAGCTGACAAACATAATGGGCACTTAGCCTGCTGTATGATGTGTGTAGTTTTGGTCTAAGTACCTAGGGGAGAATATTTGGGGGTGGTTCTTATAGGGCACTGGTCATGTCTCTACATCTGAACTGGGAGGCCCACCTGCTCCAGAGATGTGTAATAACATCTCACTGAGCAGGTTGCTGATAAAATATCTATAGTCGCCTTGGAGGGTACAATGAAGCTTCATGAGATTGTGAAGTGATTGTCGAATGAGGAGAGAATGACTGGGCCTGTATTCTATGGAGTTTAGAATAATAAATGTGTGTGGAATTATGTGTCAGTGAAGTTACCAGGGTTGTTGGGGTTTTAACCGATTTGCATTGTGGCAGAAATTGGGAAGAATTTTGTGTGTGTAGAATTGTGAACAAATGAATGTTCATTTTGATTATTTTTACAGCTCTTGATAGCTAAACTTGGTATCTCCGGGCATGTTCACCGATTAATGGCTGGATCCATGGCAGGTAATTTGTTTCCCTCTGAATTATTGACAACCTTCCAGTGTAGCTCGTGTGAAGAAAATACCTGAAATTGCCAAAAACGATTAATAATGCTTTTACTGGAATCCTAGGATCAGTTATGGCATAGAAGGAGGCCATTTGGTCCATCACATCCAAGCTGTCACCCTGCAGTCCAGTCAGTCCTCCTAGCCACTGTATTTCTGTAGTCTTGATTATAGAATCCTTATAGTGTGGAAGCAAGCCATTCGACCCATGGGGTCCACAGCAACCTTCCAAAAAGCATCCCACCCAGACCAACCCCCTATACCTGTAAACCTGCGTTTCCCGTGGCTAATCCACCTAGCCTGCACATTCCTGGACACTGTGGGCAATTTGCCATGGCTAATCCACCTAACCTGCACATCTTTGGACTGTGGGAGGAAACCGGAGCACCCAGAGGAAACCCACGCAGACATGGACTATGTGCAAACTCCACACAGACAGTCACCTGAGGCTGGAATTGAACCCAAATTGAATGCCTGGGCATTGTGAGCCAGCAGTACTAACCAATGAGCTGTGCTGTCTGTTATCTCCCTCAAGTTCCTAAATAGTCTCCGTATGAAATCATTCCTTGTGTCTGTTTCCATCACCCTTGCATATCATGAATTCCAGGTCATTACCACATATTATGCAGAAATAATCTCTTTCACTTTCTCCCTTGAAAGTTCATGCCTAAAAGTTTAATCTGCGTCCCCTACTCCTTGTTTTATCGGCTAATGGAGGCACTTTTTGTGTTCATTTTATCCAAATCTGCCTTAATTCTGTACATTCAAATCTTCTCAGTCTCCGTTCCTCCAAGTAGAACAAGCTTTTTGGCCTAACCTTGTCCCTAAATTCCTCCCTTGGAGCCATTCTGGTAAATCTCCTTTGCACTTTCTCAAGTTCCTTCACATCCTTCCTGAAGTGTGGTGACCAGAAATAGACACAATACTCTAGTTGGGGCCTTCAGAGTTTTATAAAGGTTCAGCAGAAGTTCCCTCCTTTTGTACTCTATGCCTTCAGTTATGGAGATTCCATATGCCTGTGATCTCAATGTGTACTGCCACTTTTACAGGTTATACACATGCACCCCCAGGTTCCTCTGTTCCTGCACACAGTTAAAACTAGGCCAATCAGGCTGTCTTCCTATTGCAGTCTGCCATAATGTATTACCTCACTCATTTGCTGTGGATCCAAGTCACTCAGTGCAACAGAGGCGAGGACACCTTTCTTTGTGGATAAAGTATGTTAACTACTCAGCCTTAAGAAATTTCTAATCAACCTGTGATGTTATTACAAATCTCTGGAGCTGGTGGGACTTGAACCCAGGCCACCTGGCTCAAAGGTAGGTACACTACCACTGTGCCACAAGAGCCATAACTACAGTTTTACAGCTCCTTCCACGCCTTAAACCTGCTGTTGTCCCCTTTATATCAACCCTATTGATTGATTAATCAGTTTACCTCAAGCATCTGTTTAATATTAACACACATTTCTTTGTATTAAATTTTGTCTGCCATTTGCCTGGCTATTTTGCTGTCCTATCAATGTCATGTTGAAGTTGATTATTATCCCTGCTGTTAGCCAGACTCCAACTTTGGTATGAAATGAAAATTTGGAAATTTTGCTCTGAGTTTGAATATTCACATCATAAAGTCATACAGCATGGGAACAGACCCTTCAGACCAACCAGCCCATGCCAAACATATTCCCAAACTAAATTAGTCCCACCTGTCTGCTCCTGGCCCATATCCCTCCAAACCTTTCCCATACATGTGCTTATCCAAATGTCTTTTAAATGTTGTAATTGTACCCATATCTACTACTTCCTCAGGAAGTTCATTCCACATGCGAACCACCCTCTGTGTAAAGTATTTGCCCTTCATGTCTTTTTTAAATCTTTCTCCTGTCACCTTAAAAATATGCCCCCAGTCTTGAAATTCCCCATCCTAAGAAAAAGACAACTACCATCAACTCTATTTACACCCCTCATTATTTTATAAACTTCTGTAAGGTCTCCTGTCACCCTCCTACGCTCCAGTGGAAAAAGTCCCAGCCTATTCAGCCTTACTTTATATCTCAAACCTTCCATACCCGGCAACATCCTGGTAAATCTCTTTTGCACGCTCTCCAGCTTAATAATAGCCTTCCTATAACTGGAGAACCAGAACTAGACACATATTTCAGAAGAGGCCTCACTAATGTCCTATACAACCTCAACATGACTTCCAAACTCCTATACTCAAAGGACTGAGCAATGATGGCAAGTGTGCCAAATGTCTTTTTAAAGTGTCCTAGAAGTGAACTTTGGGGTGCGCCTGTCTACCATCCTCCAGTGCAAAAAGATAACTATTTACCATGACTTGTTTTCTAGAGTTTACAAGTTTTTATTATCTGACTGGACACTCCTATCCCATGAGTCACAGTTTTGGTAACAGCATTTAATGTGCTACTTTGTTAAATATCTTTGTAAAATCCATGTAGAGAGCATCCATCATGTTGCCGCATTCAACCTTTTCTGTTGCTTCATCAGAAAAAGGTCAATTAGATAAGTCAAACAGAATCCTCCTTTTACAGGAAGCCAGGGAGGGGTGTTGAGCAGAGGGTTCCAAAAGACCATAATTATAGGAGCAGAATTAGGCCATTCGGTCCATTGAGTCTGCTTTACCATTCAATCACGGTTGATATATTTCTCAAAGCCAACCTCCTGCCTTCTCTGCATAATACTTGATCCCCTTACCAATCAAACTAGCTACCTCAGTCTTAATACAGTGAATGACTTGGCCTCCACAGGCCTCTGCGGTAGTGAGTTCCACAGATTAACCACCCTCTGGCTGAAGAAATTCCTCCTCATCTCAGTTCTAAAATGTCGTTGCGTAACTCTGATGCTGTGTCCTCCGTTCCTAGTTTCTCCTACTAGTGGAAACTTCTCCACATCCACTCTTTCATGGCCTGTCAGTATTCTGTAAGCTTCAATGAGATCTCCCCCTCATCCTTCTCAACTCCATCAAGTACAGACCCAGAGCCGTCAACCAATCCTCGTATAATAAGCTCTTCATCTCCAGGAACATTCTTGTAAACCTCCTCTGGATCCCCTCCAAGGACAACTCATCCTTCCCTAGGTACGGCCTCAAAACTACTCACAATGTTCCAAATGCGATCTGACCAGATCCGTATACAGCCTCAGCAGTACATCCTTGTCTTGTGTTCTACCGCTCTTGAAATGAACGTCAAATGAACCAGAATGTTAACATTAAGAGAATCCTGAACTAGGACTCCGAGGACCCTTCACACTTTGGAGTTCCGAAGCCTTTCCCCATTTAGAAAATAGTCTAAGTCTCTAATCTTCCTACCAAAGAGGTTTACCAGCCTGATTCCGGGGATGGCAGGTCTGACGTATGAGGAGAGATTAACTAGGTTGGGGAGAGATAGTAGGAACTGCCGATGCTGGAGAATCTGAGATAACAAGGTGTAGAGCT